TTAGCTGTTATAAATTCACTGTAAACCACGGCTTCACGGGGCTTATTGCTTTAATATGATATGGGTCATTCCTGCTGCAGGGTACTTTCTCATCTACAACGCCAAATACAGAATATTCAATAAATCTCATTATCCCTTCTATAATCTTACCACAGTCAGCAGCCAAAGAGCTGTCCTGCATGAGGCGCTTTAACATCTGCAGACAAGTTTATGAGAGTCAGAGACGCTGCAGATGAATGGATGTGGTTTGTTCCTAGTGCACAACTCCATCACATATGATTAATTGGGAGGATGAGCTCGACACACAGGGTCAACACGGTTCAAAGTCCTCTTATAGTACAACCTACCCTTATTTTTCCCCGTGCACGTCAGTCCTAACCCTGGTTCTTATCTTTTACAAACACACTTTAGCATGAACACAAGTTTGATGTTTCTCAGAACAATATGATCATGCATAATCTGCTCTTGAAAACAATGGGTATACATGCATAACAAGAGAACGCCATTTATTTCTGAACCATCAAATATCATTTTTTACCACATCACAAATTAGCCTAGTTTGCTTTGCTAAACGATTCACAATAAACTTTAGGATTTCTAATTTAATAGCTAGTATCTTATCTAAACATATTTCATGCAACATTTGACAAATGTGAATTAAAAGACTTTTAAATGTTCAAGTGATAGGCCTACTTATCTTTTGAAACATTGTCTCTTGTAAACGACAACACTAACTTTATTCAAAAATTTCACTCCAAATAGGCCTACTGAAGAAAATTACTATAATTAAACTATAATGACATTTGTCCATCTTTAGACTATAATAGAGCTTAACATTTGATGTTAGAGTGTTAAACCCAGAACATAAAAAAGTGAACATTAATGAAACGCCCGTAAACGCAACTTTACGAAAATGATTTTTTTAATTTTTTTATTTTTTTATTGTATGGTTAAAGCAGGTACTTCTGCTAAAGCAGCGGACTCAGATGAGTTTAAACTCTTTATATAGGCTAATAAAAGCATGTATTTTCACAAAGTCATCAAACACAAATACTGAACATGATTAATGAACGAGTCATTCTAGATGATTCCAAATACAATATGGCCATCTAGTGTTTATACAGTTACCTGCAAGTTTGAAAAAAAAAAAAAAAAAC